TACACTTGGTGTTTCCTAGCACTGGCTGGAAAGACAAGCACCGGCCCAAATGTTGCTCATAGGTGCCTGGTCATCCATGAAACTAGAAAAGTCCCTGGCTTTTGTTTTCCTGCTGCTTCTGTTCTGTACAGTTTTGGTTTTTGTTTTTTTTATTATCTGTCTTTCAGAAGAAAGGAGCTTTCGAATTCCTATCCAGGAAGAACATATTGACTCCAATTCTAGTCTCATCAAAAACTGACTCCACATGATATGTTTCCTGCGTTTTTGAGCTGATGGAGTGTAACAAGTAACGTGACAGAGCATTCTGTGGCTGTGTGTGTGGGTGTGTGTGACTGTTTAATTGCACTTTGGTTCCTCTGGGTCCCTGTGGCATTAGGACCCATGGGAGTAGCTGTTCTGAGGTAAAGCATGTCTCTCTTCTCAGTGTGGGTATCTCCACTGTTTCAGTCTAGTTCTCAAATGAACTCTCCTCACTTTAGGTGGAGAACCTCCCCTGAAGAACCTAGCCAGCTTCCATTGTGCTTCCATTTTTTTCAAGTTAGTTCTTCTTAGTGAAGTTGAATGACATATATCAGCTGTGCCTCCAGAGACTCTTGTTGTTGCTGGTAACTCTCATGCTGGCCATGCACCAGAATAGCACCAGAATTCTGGTGCTAGCTGTTAAGTGACTGTTGAGAGACGACTGTTCAGTGCCATTGCTCTCTTTTCTGCATTTCTTCAAACACACCCATTGAGAAAATATCATGTTAACATGTTGAGCAGCATCCCCATTGTCAGGCCAACAAATGGAATTACTCGTGATCACCAGGTAGCTCCAGATCTCACAGAATCACAGACTGGTGGGGTTGGAAGGGACCTCAGGAGATCATCCAGTCCAACCCCCCTGCCAAAGCAGGTTCCCTAAACCAGGTTGCACAGGAAGGTGTCCAGGCGGGTTTTGAACATCTCCAGAGATGGAGACTGCACAACCTCTCTGGGCAGCCTGTCCCAGGGCTCCTCACCCTCACTGTAAAGAAGTTTTTCCTTAAGTTTGTGTTTGGAAATCTCCATGGAGATCTTTGTATGTGGAAAGTAGAATATGTGGATTCTCAGAAGGCAAAGGGAAGGGTAATTTCTGATTACAACATTATTAGTGGAACTGTAGTTCAGAATAGGGGGAAAGGTAGAGTCCCACTGTCTGTGCTGTAAACTTGAGAAGTTGCCACGTATAACTTGTATTTTATCTATAAGCCCTGTGCAGCTGACACGCTGTGTGCTTCCTCTTGGTGGACATCCTGTTGTGCAGAATACCCCAGTGTGTCTGTAGCATCAGCAAGGCTGCTTCAGTCAGGTTTGGACATCTCCACAGTTAAATTGTTTAGCTTTTGTGGGACTTGATTGCTTGCTGTGGATGGAGGGAGAAACCCACGAGAACATTTGGTTCCAGACAGTGCTCTGGATTTGGGGAAAGTTGGTTTAGGAGCATGTACATGGACATTTAGAGTTCTTCTGCTGATGATAATAATTTTGTGATGGTTTAGAAAAGACTAACTCCTTGGATGTTCTCTGTTGGTAAGAGGCAAGAGCTGAATTCTTAACACAGTGCTGACTGTCTGGGCCTTCGAGGGTTGCATTTGAGCAAAGATCACGTCACAGTGGATAGATGCTAAACTATGCCCTGACCATTCATCTGGATGATCACCTTGTGTGTGCTGTCAATGGAACCTGCATTCAGAACTGAAGAAGTGTTCTTGGTTTGGTCTCTGTGCAGTTAAAATACCTGGTTGTTTGCCTGTACACTGTATGAAATGAATTTTACTTGTGTAATATTTTTCCATAAGTTAATTGGTCTCTAGTTTTGAAAAGCAAGTTTTAAGTAGCGAGTTAAAAATCTGAAGTGTCTGAGAGAAACCTGAAGAGTTGCTGTGAATAGCTTGTGATGGAATTTAAATACTTCGGTGTGAAAGTTTGAGAAGTGAACTTGGAAATTACATCTTTCAGAAGTGTTTTTCACTTCAAATATAACTCCTCAGCAGATAATTCATTAGAGAGAGGTGTTTTACCTACACAGTACCAAAGCATATGCCAAAATATGCAACGGGAAATGTATTCTTGAATACAACTGGTGTCTAGAAACATGTTTTTAAACGTATATTCTCTTATATGTTATACATATGGTGTCCTTAGCACTGATTTCCTATTTTGAAGTGCATATACAATGTATATAAACATTTGTATTATATACAAAGTGTGACAGTGACTTTTTGAAATAAATTGTGGTAGTAGCTAGATGCACATGTACGATGGGTGTGATTGGAGAGTGCAAACGAGCAAGAAGTTATTCCAGTGTATATAATTCTCACAGGAAGCAGGATCACCAAATGGTCCATCCTGTGGCTTAGCAGGGTTTGAGTTCACATACTGCCTTGTCCCTGGATTTCTGTGTGACTTGAGAAAGCTGTGTGGTGTTTTTTCCTCTGTAAATCTGGCCTAGCAGCAGTTCTGACTGGAGAGTTGCTGGTATGTTCAAGGTGATAAGGCTCAACCCCTTCAAAAACATAGAGCCCCTGTTGTAAATGTGGAGGTCTTTGAAACTGTGGCCTAAATGCTGTCACCTCACAGTGAATTGGATGGCAGAGTGCAATGGATGAATTTGAGACTCACATTCCAGGGAACACCCAAGGAATTCTCAGGAACGGTGCTAATCAGGTTTGTAGGCTCCACTTCAGCACCAATAAAGCAAGTACCGTGTTTCCACGTAACCGAGCGAGGTGCAGATAATGAGCTGTCTGAGGCTGTGGGTTGTGTGGTGACGACACAGCCCACAGGAACAGATGAGCTGTTGGCTTGACAGAAGTGCTGCTGTGGAAGCAGAGCTCCTCTGTAGTGTGGGCTCATCAGCTGTTTCCACGAATCTGACTTGTTTTCTGCCGCCTGGCTCGGCTGCACAGGAAGATGTGTGAGTGCAGCGTTCTTGTGCCTTCCTCCAGCCTCCTGAGCAGATTTCCTGCAAACTAGGGCACAGGTTCCCTCTGACTGGAGAAGGAACTGATATGGGAATGCACAGCAGAGGTTGGGTAGCTGAGGACAGGTTGCATTTGCTCATCAGCATTTGCAAGACTAAAGACAGCCAAGTCAGCGTGCTGTGTGGTGGAAGGCCAGGCACGGTGAGCCCACACAGGCTGGGATTGCTGGCTTTGTGCTAATGCTGGTCTGTGCTGGCTCTAGAACTGCATCTAGTTGCTCTGCTGAGATCTATAATCCTATCAGAAGAGTTAAACCATTATAATGTTAAGAGTTAAACCATAATAAAAACCATAATAACATTTGATAGGATTGGAGACATCTAGGATTTTTTTGCTTTGAGGATTTGGGTGTTGGTTAATAGCAGCTTTAAATAAACTAATGTAGATAATTCACTTTAATAAAATACTTATTCCTTTATTTAAATTGCCATGTTCAATCTTCTCTCTCTTCTGTGAAAAACTTGCTTGGATTTTACTGTTCCCATCCTCCCTAAAATGGCAGAAAGTAGTTAAAAGTAGGCAGAGAATCTTGAACAAGTTGGTGCTGCTGCATTCTGCCCACGCTTGTCTTCCTACGTGCCAGAAATGAAAATTTCCCTTCTCAAAGGTACGAGTCTGTGTCACAAAGTTCCTGTTTTTCAACCATTCATATTTCCCCTTTTTCAGGCACTTGAGAAACAGACAGTCTGAGTTGTACAGCTTCATCTAAGCTGATAAAGATAGGGCTGTGCTGGGCATTTTTTCCTCTGTAAGGCAGTAAGCTAAGGTGTCAGTTCTTTTATTCTGCAGAGCAATGCTAATTCTGGTTTTAGTGTGAACTGTATTGGCAGTTAGAATACTTGGTAAACCTATATGATTTATAAATTCAATGTATGGAGCCCTGATTCAGGAAGTCACTTAACCATATGCAAAACCATGTGCTTGAATGTTGTCACTAAAATTTGGCCTTTTGATCTGTAAAACTGACTAAGAATTGCTATAATTTTGTATTTCTGGATGAGAATAATGCCATTTTTTCATGAATAATTTACCAACTTTTTAACTGTACGAGCCATGAGTTACAGGCCACACAGCCAGCCCCCAACATGGTTTGTTTTTAATTAGCTACAGACAGAGGTTAGGTTAGATTGCAACAAAAACAAAACAGGAGGAAAACCAAACAAAAACCCAACCTCTCTTGTCGTAGGGATTTCTATCTCCAATATTCTTTCTGACATGTGAGGCTGTCACACGTGGGGTTTTAACAAGGCTACTTGTTTAAAATGGAGGTTTGTTTTGCTGATTGTATTGCTTCATTCAGTTTTGGAGAAGCATTAGGACAAGAAGAGATGATATTTGAGAGCCACATTGGAAAAAAAATTATACAAATGAGCTGGGTTTTGCAGTCCTTGAAATGCCCCTTTCAGATTTTGGAGTCCTTGGACACTCCTTTCAGACTGCAGATTTCGCAGTTAACATAGAATCACAGAGTGGTTTGGATTGGA